ATATGGGGAAGAACCCAAAAGTGGCGGGAAAAGCGTGAGGGAAACTGAGACTGCCACCATTTTGTACAGGGAGGGTGCACCCTAAAATGGAGGTAAGAATGCTCGTGGGGGACCCCAAAATTGAGAGGGAAGGTGATGGGGGGGACCCCAAAGTAGGGAGGGAAGGTGTTCATGAGAGGGGGACACCCAAAAATTGAGGGGGAGCCCAAAATGGAGGGAAAAGCCCTCAGAAAGGGGCAGGATTGGAAAATGGCGGGAAAGGGGGGACAGACCCCAAAATGAGGGGGAAGGGGCTCATGGGAGGGTGGGGGACCCCAAAACTTGATGTAAACCTGCTCCCTTTTGATGGGGGGGACCCCAAAATGGACTCAAACCTCCCCAAAATGGACTCGAAGAAGCCGCTGCTCCCCAAAATCGCCCATGATACGATGTGGGCCCCCCAAAATGGCGTCAAATCTCCTCAAAAATGGAAGAAATCACCCCAAAATGTGATGTAAAGCGGTGGGGGGGACCCCAAAATGGACTCGAACCCCATCAAGAGCGGAGGGATACCCCAAAAATGGCTGCACAACCACGCGGGACCCCCAAAATGGTGTCAGATCTCCTCGAAAACTGAAGAAATCACCCCAAAATATGATGTAAAATTGCTTCAATGTCACGGGGGGGACCCCAAAATCCATCAAACACCCCAAAACCCCAAATAAACGGCCCCGGGGGGGGGCTCTTTGCAGCGTTGCTTCTTTATTTACATCCCCCCCTATGGCAAAAGGGGGGGCAAAAAAATGTACAGAAATTGGGGTTGTTCTTTTTTTTTACCACGGAGGGTAAAAAAGGGGGAATTCGGGTACAAATGGGGATTTTGGGGTCGAAAGGTGGGGTTTGGGGTAAAAAAAGGGGGTTTTGGGGTAAATGGGCTCAGCTCTGGTAGTACTGGTTGTAGCTCCATGGGGTTTGGTAGTTGTAGGTGCCGTAGCCGTGCTGGGGGGAAAAAGGGGTCGTCAGTGTCACCCGCCCCCCCCCCCAAACAGCGGGGGGCCCCCCACGGACG